CGACCTTGCTCCCATATGGTTCTACATTGGTCATTTCATAATAATCAATATGGCTTGAATGACCCCCATGTTGTATCAACTAAGGACCTAGAGGAGACTCAACACTCCACTTCAAGAGTTAACTACTTAAGAAGGATTTTTCAATAGCTAGGCTCGTAGAGCACCGCATCACTATATCTTCACAATAGGATATTCATCTTTTAAAATAATATCTATCCTCTAGTCCTAAGTCAATGAATACAACTCAACTCCATGCATCAAGCATTCTTAACATAACTACTTTCAACACTATTGTTCATACAACTATACTACAGTTTAACTCTCATCAACTTACAACTTTAAGCAACTTAAATATCAACATACATCATCCTAGATGAATGTATAAGGAATTAGGGTTATATAACAACATAATTCATATGGATAATCTAACTTATTACACATATGTTCAACATGTAGTCAAATAAATAACACATTTTCATTTGGCAACTCATGCCTAGCACCATTCTCCCAATGCCCGACATCATTGAGGCAAGGCCTCTAGCTTGCCCATGCCCAATGCCAAACCACTTGCACTCAATGTAAATGAGGAAAAGAGCCCCTATGTCAATCACACTTAGTGTGACTAAACCCATGCCTAACCTCATTCAAATAATAACAGTTGTCAGACTCACGTTCAATGTTATTCAACATGCATTTGACGTCGTCAAGGTAGAGAGCTATTCCGTTGATCATGCCTAGCACCACTCAAATTGGGGTCCAATGTCACCAAATCAAAGAGTTCTCGAGGCAAACACACCTAACACCCCTTAACCTATACCCGAAATTAGCAAGTCAAAGAGCTCTCCTCTAACTCATATATGATGCTACCAATCACGCCTAACATCATGAAGTTATGCTCGGTGCGATGGTGATTTTTGCATTGACAAAATCACTATTTTGGCTCGATCTACCTAAAACTAAAAAATTTCCAACATGCAATTCATGAAACCATACATACATTCACAAGCATTTAAATCCCACTAGAAAACCACGTGCAACCAACATATGACTAAAATCACCAATTTCTCTTCAACATGTTCAAGAAACACTACAAATCGAGAACATAAGAGTTCTAAGTCACAATCATCAACACAACCATGATTTTAGTGAATTCAAGTAGTATACAACTCAAACAATTCATCAAAAATTCAAGTTATAACTTCTCTTACCTCCAAACCACCTAGAATCAGGGAAGAATAAAAAGAAGTCTCTCGACTAACTTCGTACGATCTCACCACCACCACTTGATTCTTAGCCTTTTGATCCTTGAATCTCTACACAACTCCTACAACCAAGCTCTAGGGAAGATCTTAGTACTCTCTCGAGGACTCAGAAGAAGAATAAAGAAATTCTAACTCCATAGCTTCTCTCTCTAACTTCTCTTTAGATTTTTGAAGTAATGAACTTATGAAATCCAATTCTTAAGAAAGACCTTACACATTTTCCCCTAACTAGTCAACTTGACCTCAACTCAAAACAACTCCTAAATAACATAAACTCATTAGGATTCATAAATCCTTAGAGTTTCACAACAATTAAACAACCAATTGTAGACACCCAACCGGACCAACAAAAGCTATGAAATGGACGTCTATCATCAAAGAAATGGAGCTCCCAAGCATGGAAATAATAGGACAAGACATCAGGAGGCCTAAAAGCCCAAACAAGCTAGTTTTAGTAGCCTGGAACAGGTTGTTGCAAAACCGAGACGAGCCGTTCCAAGTTCCTAAAAGGACCTAAAACCCTAGTTTGGAACGGCCCGTTCCTAGACTGGAACGGGCCGTTCCCAAACGAATGGGTCGTTCCAAGCTCCTAAAAAAGGGATTAAACCTTAACTGGAATGGGCTGTTCCTAAACTGGAACGGGTCGTTCTAAGTTATTAAAAAGGCCTAAAAACCCTTATTTGGAATGGCCGTTCCAACCTAGCCAATTATGTGTTAATCTCATATCTGGAACAGGTCGTTCTAGTTTCAGAACGGGTCGTTCCAGTTACAAAATTAACACAGAATGATCGGATCTAGAACAGGCCGTTCCGATTTTGGAATGGGCCGTTCTGGAAACTTTTTGATGTCTATAAATAGACAGCTCGGACACAATTCTCAAGGCCACAAAATTTCATCCAACTCTTTAGAGCTCGAAATTTCTCTCTCTCCCTCCTATTGTATTTCTTGAGATTTGTGAGACATTTGTGTAGTGTGAAAGGTTGCCACAAAGCATGTAGAATTTTCACATTGGAAGATTTAACAAAGCTTGCTACGAGGTATTTTAATCAATCTTCTTCGCTCTCTTTTATTTCTTATATTTGACAAGTATTGTTATAATAAAAGCAATCATGTATTAGATTTAATTTTGTTTTAACCTTTTTATCAAACAATTGACATATTTAAACAATTAATTTATATCATATTGGAATAAGTTAAAATTGAAAAAGGAGATATCTGTGGAGCATGGCTCAAACAAAAGGAAAAAAGATATATATATATATAGAGAGAGAGATAGAGAGAGAGAGGGAGGGAGAGAGAGCATCTACTACATCTATTTAGGTTAAAAATAAAGGAGAAAACAACATTACAAATAAAAGAAAACAAAAATCAATGCAAATAATCCGCATGATATAAATTAAAAAGTTATAAAAATATAGATAAGGAACAACGAGAGCATACAAAACACAAGTAAAATAGTTTCTTCTACAAAGACTACAAAAATGAAACATATTTTGGAAAGAAAAGAAAAAGTAAATACCAATAAAATTATACCACATGCTACCACTTTTTCTTTTTTCGTTTGGAAACTGAAAACAATTTTATTTTAATTTTAAATTTTAGTTGATATTTAAAAAAAAAAACATTTTCTAAAATATAACCATACATATTTTCGTTATTGTTTTCTTAATTATTATAAAAAAAAATGTTCAAAACAAACAAGATTTTATAATTTCTACATAAGACTTCCCTTCATCCATATATTATATTAATTAGAAAATAAATATGCAGACAATTTTTATAACAAAAGACTCAATCATCTACCATACAATGTTATAAAACTAAAAATGTCTTCTCCAATTATCATTCAACTATCTTGACCCCTTCCAATTATCTCGTGTTACCTATTCATACATATTACCAAACACCCTTGTATATTACATCCAATGTTTATTGGGATGTTAATTTTCTCTACACAAATTAGTCTTAAGCAATGTGTATCAAGAATATTTTATTATTATTATTCACTTAAACTAATATTTTTATGGGAATGTTTTACGCATAAATATTTTACAAATTTTAATATAACATTAAATTATTTTTATAATTTATTCTCTTCACAATATAACTTACACATTTTTTAATCTATACAACATACGAGTTAACATCATATATAAAATTTATTATATAATAAATTTTATATATGAGTATAAATTTTTCCTGTTATCCTTAATTATGATGATGACAACTGAGAAGATAGTATCAATTACTACACAAGGACGGTGGTAACATAGTGATGATAGTATATGATAATGATAAAATGACCACTAATAATTGAGATGGTAATAATGATAATTTAATATAATGATCTTGCTATATGAAAAAATCATATCTACATACACATATCCATAAATTATTTTTTTATTTATTTTTAAAGACGTGTCAGAATCTGGTGTATATAATAATATAACAAGCGCACCATAATGTTCTCGCCTTAACATCTGACCTTACAATCTACCCCCGTGCTACTGCTAATCCATAGGCAATAAAATTTGTAGTTGAACCATGATTTTGTACCAAGCACAAGAGTCATAAATTCAAGAAAATAGTAAATGATTTTCAGTTGTAATACATAAATTAATGATTTTGAATTCTCTTACCTCTCGTATTAGGCATCTTAATTAAGATATTTGGAAAATTCACATTTACCATACCTAATTAATGTTTCCTATATATTTCAAGAATGGTGAATTTTAAGTCCAATAGGTTTTACAGCCCATATTAGTGCACAAATGAACATTGATGACGGATCACAGCTAAGTAATAATCTCAACACAAGCCTTTCAAACTCCCTGCACCCTCCTCATCAGATTGGTTCTAGTTATCCTCCTTTTCCCTTTAAAACTAAGCATACAAATTTTGACATTCACAAACCAGTCTCCAATAATCAAAACTGGGTCACTCACTACTAGAGCTCACATCTAATCTAATATCAGTAATGGCTGAATAGAAGTTGCATCCACAGGGGTATGATATAAACCCCAATTAACATATACTTTTGATGCTTCATATTTTAGCCACATGCCAACATTTGCTCACAGTTACAATAATGAAGTATCAGCTGGAAGATGTCAGTATCCTCTAACTCCTGATGCTATTTGAATGAGATGATTATACAATAACTGAATGGAGCTCCAAAGTGTGCAGAACATGGTCTAAGATACCGAATGCCTCCCACTTCTAGATGGGGTAGATTTTGTTTCCTCTACAACAGTAGAAGCTGGACTCTCAGATGTATCAGAGCTAGTTAACTCACCAATTTTTTCTTTGTTTGACCAAATCTTAGAGAGTATCTTCTTTGACATGAGACCTTTCATTTTACTAGCAGCATTGCCTTTACCACCATCAATATCATTTTCTCTACTGGTTCCACCTGATAATTTTAGTGCATCAAGTTCCCCTTTCAATGCTTTTATGTCTTCCATTGTTCCCACAGCATCCCACTCTTCTTCTGTGTTTGTTATAGTAGACCTTGAGCTCCCATGAGATCCACCAGGAAGAAGGGCCCTGATTGACCCGGGATGATCCGGTGTGTTGTTGCCTCCAGAAGATGTTGTAGCTCTCAGCTGTTCAAAGAAGAGAACCTGCACAACGACACGCATGGGAAGCCGCTCGTTCTGCACAGCATGCATGCAAGCCTCTACAGACAACTTCCTGCAGTTCATCAACCTACATATTTTTTTCCTTTCACTCTTGCTGATTCCAGGATGCTCCTGCATTACATAGTACATTCAATCAGCTTTGGAGTTATGGTTGAGGACCTTAACAATTTGTTTTCATATAATCAACAAGGATAGCCAACTTCAAGGCTTTAATGTTGAAAAAATACATCAGGACTAAGAAAAATCATAACACTAAATGATCATCAATATTTAGAGATGAGTATGTTACAGATAGTATCAATTAATAAGATTTCATTATTATTAGTCTATTGAATACCTCCTTAGAGGAGGTAATACGATGAAGATAACATATGTCTAAATGCAATAATGCACTAATTGAGTTTCATTATTATTAGCCTACTAGAATATTTCCTTAGAGGAGGTAATATGAGGAAGGTAACATATAATATAGTAATGCACTGATTGAGCTTCCAGTTGTTGATGTTTAAAACTTGAGTTGTAAAAGGAAAAGGAAAACCTGAGCAACCGATACTAGGTCAGCTGACAAGCTAACTTAAAAGTACTAGGGATTTACCTTTAAATACATGTCAATGGCACGATAAAGGCCATCATGAGATGCTCTTGGAAAGCTTGATACTAATTCAGCAAGATTAGCAAATTTTGAAAGAGGTAAATTTGGATCACGTGCAATCTCAGTAAGGTAGCCATCCACCAGTTTTGCCACTTTAGCCTTAGAAATGTCTGATACCATCCCGGGGCTTCTTATCTCCTGAAATTCATCTTCCAACACAGAATCCATCTGAACTTGTTGATCACACGCTGCAAACTCTTCTACTAGTCTTTGTACAGTATCAACATCATAAACTGCCTCACCAACTGGGGCACGAATTAATAGATCAGACACCTTAGCCTCTTCAAGGCACATACCCACTCTCCGAATTAGTTCAGATCTCTCCAACTCTTCACATTCTAACAGAATAGCTACCCTTAATAACTTCACCAAGAAACTGAAAGAGACACTGCCTATGTCCACGGGTAATATTCGGATCATGGTCTCTAACAATAATCTATTCTTTACAACATCTCCTCCTTGGATCACACCCTTGTTGAAGCCAGGCATCCTTCTTGAGGCATAAGCATTTAGAGCTTCTCCAATTACAGCGCCACAAACATTGCCTTTGGCTATAATTGTTGTTATAACCCTTTCATAGAGATCAAGTTGGAGATCACAAAGGTCCTCCACCCACCAGTCCTTTGGAACCGATTGTTGTTTCCTCACACTATTGAAGTGAGGATCATTACTATTTTCAGATGGTAGCTTTTTCCTGTTATAGGTGTATGACCACTCCACCTTCGATGTATCAATTGAAGCCTTGGTAGCTATGGAGTCAATGCCATGGCTCACTACCTTAAGTTCCTCAGACCAAGGAAGAAGAGACTTGGTAGTTTGAAGAACAATAATTGAATCTTTCCAACTCCTGAAAATGCTGGAGTTGAGGAAGACTTCAATCTTGTAGATAAGATTTCCTTTCTCAACAGTTTCATACATCTCAAGATATTCTGCTGCACATCGAGCTGCAACGACATTGTATGCATTAAGAGTGACTGTCATACCATAACAGAACTTGGCACATATTTCAAAAGCAGCAGGTCCGCCAGGAATGTCATGGATATGGATTTCGTCATTGTTCTCCTCACTAGTGTTTGTAATCAGCTTTTGGAAGCGTGAACTTTTTGACAAAAGGGGAAACTGCATATATAGAGCAACTTATGGTCATGATCAAAAGTAGAGAACATTATAAAGTCCATTATCAGACTTTTCCTTACAAGGATTTTGCAAAAGAAAACAATTATTCCTCAAAAAACAAAAAGAAATACCAAACATGCAAACATGGATATATTTAACAGACCAATCATCTATCACAACTACACAGGGTTTTAGGATAGGAAATTAGGTAAAGCTGTTATGAAAATCCGATTTAAGAGTTTTTGGCAAACTGTTCAATACATACCCTACCTAAACTAGTCTTCGTTATATAATTAAGAATAAATATGTCCATGATGTTCAAGAGGAAAGAACCCATTAGACCAATTTAGAACAGCATTGGACCCCACACTCTCCCTTTTAATAAGTATTGACGGGACATATGAAGATGATTATCCTTCATAGTTCATATCCATAATGGCATAATTGAATTACAGACTTTTTTTTTACTAATAAAGGGATCAAGAGATGCCCTAATTAACATAAATTTGCGGTTCATATGCATGTGAGCTATATATCAGATTACTACATCACCTCAACGTCTGATTGAATCTTACCTTGTGCAGATAAAATTTTACATTTCCAACATTAATGGCTATGTCAGTTGCCAACTCCGTTGCCACATACCTGACAAGAAAATGCTGATACATGTTAGTTTTCAATAAAAGAAACAAAGAAGACTGAAAAATCACAACAAAAATTTATTGAACATACCACAGAAGAAAATTGTGACATGCAATTTAAGATTCTCAAGCATGTACAACGGACAAAATCCTTCCTCCTATCTCTTTTTTGTTGGTATTGATGAAATAATAATAAACATGGATTTATGTTGTCCATTAAATATGGTGAAATCATAGAATGATAGAACAGATCACCAAATATGGCCGCTCAAAAAATGATAGAAAAGTGAGTAACAGTTGGTAAGCGGTAACATAAGGAAGTCCTATAAATTTATACACGTAGATGAAGGAGAATACGGTACATTAGAAGAGTATAATATATTATGATTTCAAAGAAGCATAAAAAAGATATAAAGCATATATTGCAATGTTGGAAATTTTGATGCGCTCTAGATAGGTTTTCAATTGATAAAATCTTTAAAAGATCGAGACTTTCCTATTGGAGTTGAAGGTAATCGGACATCTGTCATTTTGTTCCAAATGTGTAGAAACAAAGAAAGACAAAGTTTCTAGCTATAAACTCATGATTTATTCAATTTGACATGGAAATGGAATAATTATATTTATATAAAATGTTATAAAGTTTACAAAACCTCGAATATAAGACACAAAATTATGTGCAAATGAATTGAATTCTGAAATTAATATCATTAAAAAAAATCATACTAGAATTCATTAGTAAATGAAAAATATGAAATACATTTTTATTTCTATAGTTTTATTCTGAAGTCCAAACACACGCCATCAGACCGGAACTGCGTACTAGTTTGACACGAATGATCGAAAATATTAATCTTTGTCTTGTCACAGAAAAACTTTTATTCCCTTGGATTTTAGAAATTTTCTGAAGATAATTGAAGAGATGTTATGTCCTCCAGTGATATGAAAAAGAAAAAAAAAATAGAGGAGTTCAACTAAACTCATCTTCAATTCAATTAAGATAAACAATCACAATGTAATAGAATGATATGCGCATGAATGAGAGCAGAGATCAAATCTCCAGAATAAATCAGGAGTGAGCAGCATCTTCATGCAAGGAAATGATGCCTTCAGATTTTAAGAATCACTAGGAAGATAAAATTATTGGTCAATCTGTTTTCAAAGAACAAACGTTCAAACTGGTTACCTTTGTATGTGCATGAAAAACGAAGAAAAGTCCACCAAACCAAAAATCTTGAAACTAATAGAGATTTGACGCCTATTAAGGTTGATTGCACATAGTAGAGGGACAACACAAGAATAATAAAATATTACCAGGAACCAAACTGGAAAGAAACCAATAATACTGGGATTTGGATGAAAATTAGTAAGAAAACATCAACCACAAGAAGCCAAAAATACATATCCTCAAGCAAGAGCTAAAGAAAGAGGGAAATAAAGTAACTTGCATATATACATCACATTCACAGGTGAAGTAAGGTTCTAAGCAGAGAGAGGAGATTGATCTCACACCTGATATTATCCCCATCATTCTGAAAAGAATCTGGCTTAGATCCAAGTTTCATAAACTTCATCTTGGCAAAAACAAATGACTGTATTTCTCCTTTTTTTCCTCTCTGGACACAAATCTCAGGTTCTACTACAGCTGCAAACACCTATCTCACCACCTCCACCTCTGAAAGATAAATCACCGACTCAGACTTTAGATTTTAATAAGAGTGTGTAACATGCTAAAATCCAGAGTGAGGAAAGGAGAATCAAGTAGAAATATGGTATATCTCCTATTAATACCGAATATTTTTCAAAAATCGAGGCTATTAAGAGGTTTTTAAATGTTTTTCTTTTGCTCACTTGAAATTGAAGTCTCAAATGTAAGGCTATTTACTAAAATGGCAACACAGTCCAAGGACCTCAGAAAAGAATGGTCATGTTAGGAGACAAAATTTCTCAAACATATATATAATTTCTTAAAGATAGAATCGGAGACAACCCCACTTACTCAAAACTGACACCACCGCCCGAGCCACATTAAAATTGTGTTTTTCATTCTAGATTTCTGCTTCCATCTCTTCTTTCTTTGTTGGTTCCAATAACTTATTCAGATACCAATAACAACACCTTTTTTCCTTTGCTAGCCACGTTTCAGCTTTGTCCCTCCTTTAAAGCCAAGCACCTGCCACAACACAAGACCACATGTATGAATTAAGAGAACAGAAGAAAGACATCAATTTATAAGATTTAAGTGGTTCCTGCTTCATTGATCATTGCACACGTTTAACTAGGCCGAAAGAAAAAGATCATTAATTCCAAGACTATATATAGGTCGACAACAGCATAATCCATAGACATTTGAAAATCAAGCTTCAGAGTGATTGGTTTTAGTTAACATAAAAAGAAAAAAGAAAGATACCGAGCAACCCGCAACAGATTTCATGTTCAGCTTAATACACCATGCACCAAATAAAGTAAAATAAAATCAAGCAGACCCAGAACAGAAATTGGCAAAAGATAAATCTTCATAGTTCAGACCCTTTATATAATAATGTAGCAAAGTGGAGTGAACAGAGTGAATAGATAAGATAAAGAAGAATATGAAGGGACAGGAATAAATCTCAACAGAAGCACAGTATACGTACCAGACCCTGAATTGTTCTTCTTCTCTTTCTCGGAATAAATATAGGGGAAAGCAAAGTGTTTTGCACGACAAATTGAGTAAAACAAGTAGAAGAAGATAACAAGTTAAGAAAGGAAAGTGGTAGAAGCAAAGAGTCAAAGCTAATCAAAGAGATCTGAGATCAGAATGCATGTCTGGCTCTGCTAAGCAAGAAGAATCTAACATGGAGTGGCCACGACAAGAAACACAAAGTTGAGTGCATGAGTAGCACTATATCCTGAAAGAAGAACCCCACATATCACACAAACTACCCAACCAAAGACCCTTCAAAAAGATAAGCTGTTTCTCATGTTTGGCATCCAGCGTAGCTGCACAAACACAAAAAGCCAACCATCATCGCAATGTTCTCTTTGATCACAACTTTTGGATCGCCCCCACCATTCTCATCTTAAGCTAGAAAACAAAAGCATTCACAAAATATGCAACAGTCCAAGTTGTCCATCTTTTATGGAAAATGAAAAGGTTTAAAAAGAAATATAATTGGTTTATGAGTTTAAAGTGAATAATAATGAGGTTTGTTAGTTCATAGTAATAAAGTAAAAGCAGGTTGTGTTAGTAAAATGATGGCGAGACACGACCATGAGGCCCCTCAACACATTCACTCACTGAGTCCACTGTGTCAGTGTATGCATGCACGCCCATCTGACATGAACCACTTTGTTGCTCTCTTCGCCAAATAGTACAAACGACTTCGTTTCGGGACGTGAGTCTTTTAGTAATATTCATATCTTTACTAGTTACAGAGGGTATAGTAACTTTTGCTTTTAGTATATGTAATTTTATTTTTTTTACTTTAATTCTTGCAATGTCCTTCATCGTCTATTTTAATTATCATCATAAACCTACCATTAAAAACAACATGTTTTATGTCCCTACAAAATATAGTGTTTTGTTTTTATTCCTTAACTTTACCTCAAGATTTAAACAAATGATAACAAACATTAAAAATGTCAAAACAAACAAAAATTAGATTTAAATATAAAAATTATTATACAATAAAACATATTTAAACTTTATTATTATTGAATAGAAGGATCAAGACAAGATTACATTAATAGTTATATATACTTGTATCTCTTTTGTAGCCGAGTGATCTGAATTCTGGTATAGCAGTTTATGTAGTCCCTCTCATGGTGGACATATTGTTACCCCGATGCATTCTCAGCCAATAATTATTTACGTATACCCTCCCTCCCACATGCAATGTTTCAATCTGCTATTCCCAATGTCAACAATTCAAATAGAATATGATCATGTTTTATCGTATTCTTTTCCTCAACCACATCCCCATGATAATGCTTACTCTTGTTACTAGTTTCCTTACCACAAATTCATTTTGCTACTAAATCACAAGGGAAAAAAAAATGCTTCAAGAATCTCATTCAATGAACATTAATTTAGGAATATGTTTCACACACCTGATGTAGATGGTGATGCAAGCAGGAAACACCCTGAATTATAAAATTAGAGTTTGTTAATGTCACAGTCTCTCAAAGATTATATTCTTGGGAGATTGTCGGGCTGATTACTATTTCGTCCATATTCTTTTTTTTTTCTTTCTTTCTCACATATAATTTTTTAAAAGACAAAATATGTTGTACACTAAATGTGATCTGATTTCTATTTCGTCCATATTATTTTAATGCTTTTATTTCACAATTTTCAAATAAATATCCGCTAAATAGTATATATATACAATTACAAGAATTTTTCTCCATAATTAAATTTAAATTATGGGATACCTAAAAATATAAAAGAAACAGATATTTTAAAGAAATATAATTTCCATAATTAAAAATATAAAAATAATTAGATTTAATATATTTGTTAGTCCTTACATATATATGATGAATTATAATTTTAGTTCATATACAAAATTATTTTTATTGGTTTTGGACTTTGTGGGTTTAAAATTTTGAAAATAATTTTTTTATCACCATTTATTGATAATGTAACATACATTTAGATATGTCACACCAAATGTCATCTCAAAATAGTTATTAATATATTATGTCTAGATACATGCACATCATTACTAAAGTAATACAGGCTGATTAAAAAAGTTAAATTTACGATAATCAACACTAATAATTTTTTTATGAAGTATATATTAAAATCAAAGTTTGTCGTATTTATACCGACTAAATCAAATAATTAATTATTTCTCTAATGTATATTTAATCAAACATGTACTAGATTTAACTTTTCATGAATGAAAATATTCATCCATCGATCTATGATTTTGAAAATAGAGGGCTTACTAATTCGGAAATATATAAATATAAAATACAACAACACATGACATATTTTGTAATACCATATTTCTTTAGTTATTTATATTTGAGATATATATATATATATATATATA